CAATCAAAGTTTCCTCTTGTCAACATTTTAGCATCAAGTTCAAGGTATAATGCCAATATTTCCTGCAGTTCTCTTCGTTCTCTAAAGTACTAGAACACTGTGCATGTACACTGTGTCATGTAGTATATAATGTATTATATAGATATAACAATATAAAGTTGGTTTCTCATGGTTTCAATTCCATTTTTTTATCTTCAATCATTTTACATGTACTGATTTTATAGTTTCTGAGGGATAATGTTATTTGAATTTCTAGAGGAGGAGGGTTCTAGCCTTGTTTTTGCTGTATCTGCTTCTTGCATATAGGGTGGACTACCTCATATAGGTTTTGTAATTTTGAATTTTGGATCATGCCTGGTAGGGCATTTTCCATAGGAATTCCTTACTGCCACGGTTGAGGATGTGCCCCTCCAAAAAAGACTTTTCATCTACTTCTGTCAATTGCTTCAAGGAATTTTGTGTTAATTTCTCAGTTTGAGGGTTCCCACACAGCACAGTATAAATTCAAATCCCAAACCCAAAGTGATTGAAGGCTAAGTCTAGTTTCTGCTTTGTTTTTGGTTTCTGGTGATATTGCTTACATCCTTGTGAACTCATCCAGCCACTTAAGTGGATGAATATTTTATTTTATTCAGCATGTCCAAGTATTTTATAGCTGGCACTTTTTTTTTCAATGAAACATGATTTTATTAGATACTTGTCTCACAGTATGCAAGCTTCTTATACCATAGTGACTAAGACACACAGGTGCAGAGCCCAAATCTGCTAATTAATTACTTCTGCATGACTGAATCAGTTGCATAACTTGTCTTTGCCTTAGTTTCCTCCCCTGTGAAATGGAAAATGGGAGTGGTAAAATGGATAATGGGAAAACTATATGCTTTAACATTCACAACCACTTAGCAGGTGCTCAATCATTGTTAGCTGTTATTAAGATTTGAATTGAGTATAATTGTTTTTCTGAATAAGCAAACAACAGGGATCTTATTTCCACAAATACAAATTTTCAAGAGCCATGTAACTATTCCTAGTTTTGCTATTTGCAAACAATATTACCTCTCAAGATGTGAAAGAATAAAAATAAAATATTAAGCAATCGACAAGTCTTCCTTTATCAGTATATTCAATCCTTAATTGCCTATTATATTTTATTTTTGGAAAACATTTTATTTTATTATCATAAGGACACTGAAATTAAGATCTACTCACTTAACAAATATTTAAGAGCACTATACATTATTGTTGACTATAGGTACAATGTTTGTTACATAACA